CCTTAGATGGTTTTGGAAATTTTTTGTATTTCCTAATTTGAGGAACAGACACAGTCTCTATATGATGATATCTAGTTGAAAGAGGCTCTATGTGATGGGATTTATCTGACCTGGGTGACGTGAGGCCGCTAGCAGACGGTTGGTTTAGCCAGTCTGTCTGCTTCCTGACCTGAGCCCCAGATTGTCATGTTTGAGCTCTAAGACTATGTGCCATATTAATAGAGAGAAGAGCAGCACCATCCCAGGAGGGATGAATACCATCTCTTTTCAACAGGTCAGGTTTGCCCCAAAGACTTTTACAATTGTCGATAAATTCTATATTATGTTGCAGACACCACTTAGACAGCCAGCCATTGAGTGAGGACAATGTACTAACTAACTATCTCATCACTCCTGCGAGCAGGAAGGGGGCCAGAGCAAATTACAGTGCTTGACATCATACTTGCAAGTTCACACACCTCTTTAACGTTAATTTTAGTGATCTGCGACTGGCGGAGTCGAACATCATTAGTGCCAACATGAATAATAATCTTAGAGAATTTACATTTAGCATTAGCCAGCACTTTTAAATTTGCTTTGATGTCAGGCGCTCTGGCTCCCGACAAACATGTGACTATGGTGGCGGGTGTCTCTATTTTCACGTTCCGTGTAATAGAATCGCCAATAACTAGGGCACATTCAACAGGATTCACAGTGGGTGTTTCACTGAGCGGGGAGAACCTGTTAAATGTTGTAATCGGAACGGAAGAGCAGTGTTTTGTCCCGCGACTATAGCGTCTCACGGTCACCCAGTTGCCCTGCTGCACGGGCTCTACTTCAGCCGGAACCGAACAATGTACAGTGTTCACTAAACTAGTCGCATCCAAAGCAGTATCTAAATACCTTGCACTCTAACTATCCTCAATTAAAGTTTGGATGCATGTCTCCAGTTCTGAAATCTTCTCCGTCAGCCTGACTATCTCCCTGCATTTATCACATGTAAAGCCCTCAGTGCTGACAGAGAAAGCTATGCTATACATGTTACATGAAGTGCAAGTAAGAGGAGAAGAAATCATGACTCACCGTGTTTGTTGACTGATCACTACTTACCACAGCTTTGATGGATTTGTAAAAGGCGCGAGCGAAATAAATAAATAAATAAATAAATAAATAAAGAGCGCACGGATGGCACACCAATAGGCTAGCGAATTACTAACGTGTTGTACTAGTAACGATTTAGATTGAAGCTAGCGATGTCAGGTTAATATATGATGTTGAGTAAGTTATATTTTAGCAGTATAAACAACAGGGAATGATAGTGAATAATGATTCAAAACGGAAAGATATACGAAGCTACAGACGCAAACCAACTCAACAGAGCAGCGAAGCAGACAGGAGCAATCGAGATCGGCCCGAGTGAGTGAGTGAGTGAGTGAGTGTGTGTGTGTGTGTGAGAGAGAGTGAGTGAGTGAGTGAGTGAGTGTGTGTGTGTATGTGAGATTGAGTGCTCTTGTTTTTGTGATATATGAGGACACAAATGTGTATAATGACATGCATATTACACTGGTATTACAACTTACACGTGATATATGAGGACATTGCATGAGTCCTCATATTTCAAATAGCTTAAAAAACATAAAAAACAATGTTTTTTTTTAAATGTAAAAATGCAGCATGTCTCCTGTGATGGGTAGGTTTAGGGATAGGGGCAGTGTAGGGGGATAGAATATACAGTTTGTCCAGTATAAAAGTCATTACGCCTATGGAATGTCCTCATATATCACAAAAACACAGCTGTGTGTGTGTGTGAGAGATTGAGAGTGTGTGTGTGTGTGTGTGTATGATTGTGTGTGTGTGTGTGTGTGTGTGTGATTCAATGTTAGGCTGCATAGATTAGGTCAGCCGGAACCGGGAACACTCCCCATAAATCCTGATGTACTTGTTACATCATAAGAAGGATGGCGTCTACGCTAATACTAGTCTCTCTGTTTATCCGAGGTTTGCCGCAGTCTGCCGGATCCAGGCCGTATCCAGATCTGATGAAGGACCTTCGCCTGGACACGACGACACCGCAGTCCTGAAGTGTCAACCATCCCTTCCCTGTTACTGAAGTCAGCCGGATCCCGGCCGGATCCAGATCAGATGGTGGACCTGCACCTGGACACGCATTACAACAACAACGTTATAAGATTTGAATGATATAGTACGCCTCACTTATTTCTGGTTATGTTTACTTTCAATGTACTGTGGTCAATGAGATGTCAGTGTTCGTCTAAACTAGCGACCGCAACGCTGAAGTGTGTAAGAACAGAGGAATAACTCTGGAATAACAAATAAATATTTGTTTATTGGGATTAAATATTTTAACCATTCGGTGTCATTTTTCAATGTCAATCTTTTCACTATTTACATGTTTATGCCCAAAATATTCATGAACCCGGCAGCTCATCAATCTTTAGTGCGGTTTATCAGTGTTATTGTTAGTTTTTTTTTTTTTACAGAAACACTGACCGACAATGTCTTAAGCAACACCAGTCCTAATTTCAGTTCAAATGACAAATCTGCATTCTTACGTTCTCATTCATACTGTTACCGAGGTTGAGTTGAGTGAGAAGTCCCCCAGTAATCGTGTCCCACGGTTATTTCTGCATACATGTGAGTTTTGGTTTGTATTAATGTCCCCAGACAGCATCTGTTGGGCGACTGCTGGGCTGAGCGTAATCGAGCATTGGCTCCATGTTGCCTATTGTTTGAATCTCGAGACTGCGTTTGTAAACTGTATCTCACTACTGTCTATAGACTGCATGTTTGCATAAACTCTGATGATTGCTGGACTGACCTGCTCTCACACACGCTCCCCGCCTGTGACGTCACTCCTGGGGGACAGCGACGGCTTCTGCGGGTTCGGCAGCCGGCAGGAGTTCCTCATTCACTGCTCCTCCCCATCCAGCGGACGGCAGCAGCTCCGGCCCACGGCCCACGGCCCACGGCGGAGACTCCGTCAACCATAAAGCGTCTGCTAAATGATTCAATGTAATGCAAATGTCCAGGCCTGGTCCTCTCCTGTTCTTCAGTGTCGTCGCTCCTGCTTTTATGCTCCGTAGCTCCTCCGTGAGACACTCGAGACACTCATCTCGGCCTCATCCTGCTTGCAACAGTAACACAATTAAATATTGTTTAAAATATTAAGAATCATTAAAACTGCTCGACTGAAGAACTGGCTGTTGTGTGACAGTAATTTCATCTATTAAACAAATCTAGTTATTTATTAGTCTGTAGACCTGCCAACCTCAACATTTTTTGTGAGTACCATCAGTGGGACGGGACACGGGGTTTGGGTGGGCTCATATATTCTCACAGTTTTGAGAATGCAAGACATGCACAAACACACGCCTATCTTCATTATTCTAGTTTTGAATTTTTGTTTATGTTTTACCATTCTTAATGCTTAAATAGTTAACAGATTATTAGAGTCGAGCGTTTTGTTTAATTAATAATGGCACATTACAACATAAATTTGCTACATTCCAGTAGAGCCTCTGTTGCACTGCACAGACGACAGAACCCGAAGGTGTTGAAGATTATCAGCCGATCGCACCAGAAAATGATGACGAGGCTAAATTATTGTTTCGTGAATCATTCACGAAATTGGGACGGTTGCGAGTGCTTTCCAGCCATAGCAACGAAAGATTTGCGACATTTTAAATTTGTATTGACAAAGAAATTGCAGCTTTGTTGTGTAGGCTAGAATAAAAACGGTACAAAATGAAAACAGTAGCCTACAAAGCAACATAAATTAAGAACGGGCGTTTTTCTTTGCCTCTCTCGCAGACGCGCTCCTGGATCTCTTTCTAGCTTATTTTGTCACTCTCACTCTCTCGATATTAAATGTTTCAGAGTAGAAACACATAATACTGATAATACTGTATTTCGCTGCGTGTCATCCACACCAATTACAAAAAATAACTGTAACAAATTTATTTAGCCTTTGTTGCTTCAAAGAAAAATAATGCTTAGTGGTGCACGATATATCAGCCGCCGATATAATATTGGCCGATATGGTCAATTTTTTACACATCGGTATCGTTCCGATGTCAAAATAGGGCCGATGTGAACAGGCCGATAATCATTCCTGTGTATTTGACGTGCGTGTAGATGTGAGTGTGGGGGCGGGGATGTTTGTTTTTGCACGAGCGCATACATTACGAGCGCAAGTCCTGTCAGTTTAAACATCAAGGACAAGAAGACTGGAACTTGCGCGCTGTTTTCTGTCAGCCTTACTATTCGCGTCTGGTGGGATTGTGTGAACTAAGTAGGGATGGCCCGATACCATTTTTTTCAAACCGATACGAGTACGAGTATTTACATTTGTGTACTTGCCGATACCGAGTACCGATACCGATATTTCTACCGCAAAAGTAATAGGCTCCCAGAAAAGAAGACGACTATTTTAGAACACAGGTTAGAAGACTGTTTTTATTTTCTTCTCTGCTTGTTTTAACAAGTCTAAAAATAAATAAAAATTTGTAAAATAATAAATGTATTAACACACAAACCACTGTTAATTTAACATAAAAGCAAGCAGGCTACTGCGTGCATGGTCTGGCATGACTGAATGCGCGCAAAGTGCGCTCCCTTAAATCCTAAAAAGCTGACAGTTCCTCGCGATCTCACACAACTCTGTTATTATCAATGAAGCTGACTGCACAATGAATCTTTCATAATATCCACAATTTGTTTGTTATAATTAGAGGATTTGCCAGCATACAGAATTCAGCACTGAACAAAAAAGTCAGTTTTGAGCGGTGAGGGGAGTCTATCTTAAATGCTTCTGATTGGCCATTGCGTTCAAGAAATCAACACATATGTCTGTGATTGGCTACATCGCTCAACGCTGTAACCATGTTATGAATAGAAACTCTGGCCTGTAAATCGTTTCTATTTTGTTGTAGTTGTTCTTGTTGCTTTTCTGCAAGAGATGAATAAAAATCTATTAGTTTTTATGTTTTATTTATAGATATTTCTAGTTGTAATGGGACAGGGTTGGGGCACTACAAGTCCCATCAGCCCCAGCGCTATATAAGGAAGTAGTGAGGTTTGTTTGCTCCCTCAGTTCCCTTCCTTGATCGTGTGTTGTGGATGTCGTGTGTGTTGTGGAGGCGGCACATTTAAATCTTCAAAGGTTAGTAAGTAGAGAGATTAGTTTGCTCTTACTTCTTTTTGCTGCGATTGAGTTATGTGTGCATGTCACGACAGATTGAGCCCTTCTGAAGGATTGTAGCAGATAAGCAGTTATGTTAACGTCATGGAGAGCTGAGCATATGTTACATACCATTTAGGAGGTAGTAGTTTTATTATTTTATCTAATTGTTTTTTTTAGGATTGTGTTTTAATAATTTTATTGTTCTTTGGTTTTTAGTGTTTTTGCCGGATTATTGCCTGACTGATTGTTGCCTGAGCGTCAGTCAGAAATATTGGATGTTTGAGGTACTGTTTTATTAAAGGGAACTTGTAATAATGTTTTCTATCTGTGCATAATTTATATTGGGTTTTATTTTGTGTTTTTGTATATTGTATATAATTCTCTGTTGTAATTAATTGTGTTTCCCCTTACAGGGATGCACGGTTACCGTTTACTTTAGATTGAATTTTCTTTGGTTTATTTATTATTTTGTCTGATGCTGGATCAAGTGGGAAAACCCTTGACCGTAAAATAAGAGTGATGGTCTAATGGTGCTGACTTGCTTGTCCTACTGGCATTACCCACAGTTAATTTGTTTTTCTTTCCTTTTGTAGATTTCTTTTTAACCCAATGATGGCTGCTTGGTTACCCTCACTGAATGGATGGCGGTGGTGAGGTGGCTGGGATCGCGTGGTGTTGGTCACTTTATTTGTATTTTTACCTTTAGGGTTGCAGTGTGATTGCTGTGAGTTTTGCTGTGGTGAGAGCACTTTCAAGACTACTGCCTTCACGATATAGGTAACCTGTGGCCATTTGTGGGTTGTTGTTTTTGTTTTTTTTGTTTCTAGTTTTCATTTATTATTTTGTGGGTATTTGCTTTTAAGGACTTATTTTCTTTAACTGCTAAATTATTTGAATAAAAATGTGCCTATTGATGGAAACTGCACAACCGCCTTGCGCCTGATTATTTACCCCTTGTGGGTCATGTTACAATTGGCGTAGTCGGCAGGGTACTTTTGTTTGGCGAAGGTGGTTGTGTTTTCTGGCATATTTGTGTTTTTTTTTTTTTTATATATATATATATATCATTCAAGTAAACGGTAATCGTGTGTGAAGACGAGCATCGCAGTCTCCGTGGGACCATTTTCACCTTTCTTCGCTTTGAACTTTCCCCATTCATCAACAGACATGGAACAAGAAATAATAGACTTGCGGGAGCAAATACGGAACCTGCAGGCACAAAATGAGCAGCTGACGAGAGAGCGCCCCCCGGCCAGTAGCAGCGCTTCTAACCAACCGCACCCTTCTGTGGCTAATCCCAATGCTTCATCTCCTTTGTCTTTTAGTAGGGTACTATATGTCCCCCGGGAGCGGAAGTGCCCACGTTTTTATGGGAACATGGACTCTACTTTGAGTATTGAAGACTGGACTGAGGAGGCTGAGGTGTGTATTGAGGGCAGGGGTTGGTCTGATAAAGAAAAGGTGGTGTTTTTGCTTGACCATCTGGGGGGGGGGGGGGAAGCCAGAATGGAGATAAAACTCCGCTCACCAGCTACTAGAGAATCCCCAAAGTCTGTTTTTGATATTTTGAGAGATTTGTATGGGGGGAGACAGACATTTGTGCAATTACAACAAAGGTTTTATGAACGTAAACAAAAAGAAGGTGAATCTTTTACTGAATTTTCCCATGCCCTGATGTCCTTGATGGACTTGATTCTCAATAGCAACCCAGGCAGTGTTCCAAATTCTGATAGAGTGCTTCGTGATCAGTTTGTTGAACATGTTCGAGATGTGATGCTGAAGCGTGAATTAAAGCGATTGGTAAGGGAGAAGCCAACTTCTACTCTACTAGAGGTTCGAAGTGAAGCTCTTAGGTGGGTGGAAGAGGGGAATAGAGAAGCAGCTGCTTCATATGTTCAGCCATGGTGTAACGTTACTCAAGGCCGGGTAGTTGAGCTTGAACCTAAGGTTAGAGTTCATGAGTCTACAGAATTAAAAGAGATTAAAGACATGTTGAGACAGCAACAAACCCAAATCATTGAACTGACCCAGCGTCTTGATAGCCTTATGTCTCAAAAGAATGAACCTTTTGTTAATGCAACTCGGCAAAATAACTCAAGACGGTGCCTTCGCTGTAATAGAGTTGGGCATATAGCCAGATATTGTCGACAACCATGGCCCATAGAGTCAAACCCTAGATCCCCTCAGGTGAATGTAAATGAGACATCTGTTGGGGAGCCTGACAGTGTAGCACCTGCAGTATTGAGTCAGGTTATAGGAGATAGTGAAGCTTCACCATCACCTTGTTGCCCTACCATCTTACAGCGTCTTGTGGGCAGATGCCCTGTTGTAAATATCCAGATAGGGGGGGTGGAGATTTCATGTTTACTAGATACAGGGTCAATGGTGACCACTGTAACCCAGTCATTTTTTGAGAAGCATTTCCGACAAGGAGTAGATGCACTTAAAAAATGTAGTTGGCTTCAATTAAAAGCAGCTAATGGTCTTGAGATTCCATATGTTGGATATTTTGAAACCGATGTGACTGTGTTGGGGCAAACCCTTTTGGGGCAGGGCATTTTGGTTGTTAAAGATCCCGTCGATACTTTGTTCCATCAGAGGAAAGAACTGACTCCTGGCCTTTTAGGTATGAATGTTATTGGACAGTGTTATAATGACCTGTTTGAAAAACATGGCCCAGCACTATTTTCAGCTCCACAGGTCAGGCAGACTGAGTTAGGATGGAGAGACGCCTTTTCACAGTGTCACCGGGCAGATGGTTCCCCTTTTCCTGGATTCATTGGTTATGTGAAAGTGCAGTCTTGCCATCCTGTGCAGATTCCAGCTGGCACCATGAGGTTAGTACCTGCATTGTGCCCTAAAAACATAAAAAGTTGTACAGTCTGTTTTTTAGAACCCCAGGATTTCAGTGAGGGGGGACTGCCTGCTGGAGTGTTAATATCACCTTCCCTACTGCAATGTACACAAGGGGTAGTGCATGTACCGGTAGTTAATGTTGGTACAGAACCTTTATATTTGCCACCAAGAATTAGACTGGGTAGTTTGGTTGAGGCTGAGGTGGTCATAAGATCAGATCAAGACATTGTGTTTAAGGAAGATCTACCATGTGATCCTAATACTGTGACTGTTCAGTGTCAAGCTATTACATCAATGTTAAACATTGATGTCCAAGGTTTAAAATTGCCTGGGCTTACAGAGGCTGAGAAAGAGGAAGTTGTGAGATTGCTAACAAGATACTCTGACGTCTTTGCTAAGCATGATATTGACCTGGGGTGCACAAACTTAATAGAGCATCAGATTCCGTTAATAGATGAAACACCGGTACGCCAGCGATATCGTAGAATTCCTCCTAGTCAGTTTGAGGCAGTGAAGGCACACATAAGACAATTGTTGGACAGTCAAGTCATTAGGGAGAGTTGTAGCCCATATGCCTCACCAATTGTATTGGTGCAGAAGAAGGATGGCTCTCTGAGGATGTGTGTCGACTATCGCCAACTCAATGTCAGAACTCGCAAGGATGCCTATCCCCTACCAAGGATAGAGGAATCACTGGATGCCTTGATTGGAGCTAAGTGGTTTTCGACTTTAGATCTGGCTAGTGGATATAACCAGGTGCCAGTAGCTGACAATGACCGTGCTAAAACTGCCTTCTGCACCCCATTTGGTCTCTTTGAATTTAATAGGATGCCTTTTGGGTTGTGCAATGCCCCAAGCACATTTCAAAGGTTAATGGAGCGAATTTTTGGGGATCAAAGTTTTCAGTCTTTATTGCTCTATTTGGATGACGTGATTGTCTTCTCAACAACCATTGAGCAACATCTTCAGCGACTTGAGCTGGTGCTGGATCGTCTGAGACAACAGAACTTGAAGATAAAACTCAGTAAATGCTGCTTCTTTCGGCCAGAGGTGCGTTATTTGGGGCATGTGGTCTCTTCTACAGGGGTTAGTACAGACCCAGAAAAGATCTCGGCTGTAGCTAAATGGAATCGTCCGCAAAGCCTTCAAGAACTTCGATCCTTCCTTGGCTTCGCTAGTTATTATCGGCGGTTTGTTAAAAACTTTTCACATATTGCGGGACCTTTGAACACATTGGTGGCAGAAATGATTAGGGGACAGAAAAGTAAACGACCAAAGATTAATCTGGGGACCAATTGGACTGACCCATGTGAAAATGCTTTTCAGACGCTTAAAACGGCTCTAACAAATGCTCCAGTCCTTGCCTATGCTGATTTCAGTAAGCCCTTCATCTTGCATGTTGACGCAAGCCATCAAGGTTTGGGTGCAGTCTTATCTCAAGAACACGGAGGCAAATTTCGACCAGTCGCGTTTGCAAGTCGAGGTCTGCGACCATCTGAACCCAACATGCAGAATTACAGCTCAATGAAGTTGGAGTTTTTGGCTCTTAAATGGGCTGTTTCCGAAAAATTTCTAGAGTATTTGCTGGGTCAGAAATGCCTGGTGTTTACAGACAATAATCCACTCAGTCATTTGCAGACAGCGAAATTGGGAGCGTTGGAACAACGATGGGCTAACCAGCTTGCAGACTTTGATTTAGAGATTAGGTATAAGCCTGGACGTTCTAATGTTAATGCTGATGCTTTGTCTAGAAAAATTTTTGCATCTGTAGCTGAATTGGTTATGACCACTGGTTTACCAAAGGAACTTTATCAGCATGTCCATGATGGTCAACGCGTAGTCGTAAGCGAAACAATTTCTGCCCTCCCCGAACAGCCTAGAGAAAATCTTAGTGTTCTGCAAGCAACTGACCCCATTATTGGGCAATTCCTTGTCTATTGGGATCGTCAAAGGCCACCAGATGCACAGGAGAGGGGATCAGAACCATCAGAAGTGCTGGAGTTGGTGAGACAGTGGGAGAGGTTGGTCAAGATCGAGGGCATACTGTATCGGAGGTTCTGTCCCCAAGAGGAACATCGTGAAATTCGTCAGGTTGTGTTACCAGCTGTTCTCAGGGAAAGAGTCCTTATAGGTTTGCATGATGACCATGGTCACCAAGGAATCGAGCGGACAGCAAGTTTAGTGAGATCTCGATGTTACTGGCCTGGTATGTTCAAATTCATTGAGGAATGGTGTAAGAAATTTCAGCGCTGCACCCTGGCCAAGGTAGTACGACCAAAAGTACGAAGTTTTATGGGGCACCTGATGGCAGAGAGGCCATTGGATATTCTGGCCATTGATTTCACGCTGCTCGAACCTGCATCAAATGGACTTGAAAATGTATTGGTGATGACTGATGTTTTTTCAAAGTTTACACAAGCCATCCCAACTAGAGACCAAACGGCATCAACAGTGGCACGGGTTCTAGTGGAACGTTGGTTCCACCTATTCGGGGTCCCACGACAAATTCATTCGGATCAAGGTCGGTGTTTTGAAAGTAGGCTGATTCAAGAATTATGCCGGCTGTATGGGATTTCAAAATCTCGTACCACGCCCTACCGACCGCAAGGGAACGGTCAATGCGAACGTTTTAACAGAACAATGCATGATTTGCTGCGTACCTTGCCTCCGGAGAAGAAATGTCATTGGCCAGACCATCTTGCTCAGGTAGTATATGCTTACAATACCACAGATCACCAGTCTACGGGATATTCCCCTTACGTCCTGATGTTTGGACAACAGCCCCATTTACCTGTTGACTTTCTGTTGGGATTAGATAACCACGTCCAGAGTGAAGTAGACTGGGTGGTGGACCATAAAAATAATTTGGAACAAATATTTAGTAAGGCCCGAGCCCGCCTTCAATGTGCCACAGAACACCGTGCCCGATCAAACGACCTTAAGGTACGTCATGGACAATTAAGGGAAGGTCAAGTTGTGTATCAGAGAGCCCATAACATAAAAGGCAGGAATAAGATCCAGGATGCCTGGGATCCAACCCCCTATAAAGTGGTCCGGTGCCCAGATGGACATGGAGCTGTGTATGCTATTGCCCCTGCAGATGGAGGTGGTAATATTAGACACATTCATCGTTGTGAGTTGCGTCCTGCTTATACTCCCTCAAATGATCCTGGACTTCTAGATCTATTTGACCATCAGGAAACTTTAAGAGACGAAGGCATGGTAGTTTTGTCTCTAACGCCTGAGGATGTATCTGCCCAGGACCAAGTTAATACGTCTCCACCTTTACAGGAAGATAATACCAACTTCTGTACTTCAGTAGTAGATCATGCAGAGAACCATCAGCCTCAACAACAGGAGGAAGCTGTAGTAAGGCGTACAAGGAGGGCAACAGCTGGATGTCATTCTAACCCATATCGTCTACCTCGGTCAGTCCCTATTACTGAAGTCCAGATTAATGACCAGGTTGCTCTCCCTATGATGTCCAGTAATGGTTTGAACGTAATGTTCCGCCCCTGGTTGTAGTATTGATGTAATCGACGGGACGTTTTTAAATCTGGGGGGTAGATTGTAATGGGACAGGGTTGGGGCACTACAAGTCCCATCAGCCCCAGCGCTATATAAGGAAGTAGTGAGGTTTGTTTGCTCCCTCACTTCCCTTCCTTGATCGTGTGTTGTGGATGTCGTGTGTGTTGTGGAGGCGGCACATTTAAATCTTCAAAGGTTAGTAAGTAGAGAGATTAGTTTGCTCTTACTTCTTTTTGCTGCGATTGAGTTATGTGTGCATGTCACGACAGATTGAGCCCTTCTGAAGGATTGTAGCAGATAAGCAGTTATGTTAACGTCATGGAGAGCTGAGCATATGATACATACCATTTAGGAGGTAGTAGTTTTATTATTTTATCTAATTGTTTTTTTTAGGATTGTGTTTTAATAATTTTATTGTTCTTTGGTTTTTAGTGTTTTTGCCGGATTATTGCCTGACTGATTGTTGCCTGAGCGTCAGTCAGAAATATTGGATGTTTGAGGTACTGTTTTATTAAAGGGAACTTGTAATAATGTTTTCTATCTGTGCATAATTTATTATTGGGTTTTATTTTGTGTTTTTGTATATTGTATATAATTCTCTGTTGTAATTAATTGTGTTTCCCCTTACAGGGATGCACGGTTACCGTTTACTTTAGATTGAATTTTCTTTGGTTTATTTATTATTTTGTCTGATGCTGGATCAAGTGGGAAAACCCTTGACCGTAAAATAAGAGTGATGGTCTAATGGTGCTGACTTGCTTGTCCTACTGGCATTACCCACAGTTAATTTGTTTTTCTTTCCTTTTGTAGATTTCTTTTTAACCCAATGATGGCTGCTTGGTTACCCTCACTGAATGGATGGCGGTGGTGAGGTGGCTGGGATCACGTGGTGTTGGTCACTTTATTTGTATTTTTACCTTTAGGGTTGCAGTGTGATTGCTGTGAGTTTTGCTGTGGTGAGAGCACTTTCAGAGACTACTGCCTTCACGATATAGGTAACCTGTGGCCATTTGTGGGTTGTTGTTTTTGTTTTTTTTGTTTCTAGTTTTCATTTATTATTTTGTGGGTATTTGCTTTTAAGGACTTATTTTCTTTAACTGCTAAATTATTTGAATAAAAATGTGCCTATTGATGGAAACTGCACAACCGCCTTGCGCCTGATTATTTACCCCTTGTGGGTCATGTTACATCTAGTTTGCGGGAGTCCCACGAATCGTTTTATTCTCCCGCACCCGCACACACAGAGTGAGTGCATTACCGCCCGCGCGCGCGCTCGGCCATCATATCTATGATGCGTCTTCAGATGTTTAATTAGATTGCTGGTGTTAAACGATGTACTTTCTTTCCCTCCTCTCGACACCTTAGCTGAACATAACTTACAGTCTGCCTTGCTGTTATCATCATCCCTTATCTTGAAATGAGCCCAAACCGCCGACATTATACTTTCCTATGCCTCAGTTCACCTCGACAAAGCACTCGCGGCGGCCAGTTTTGTTTTGCAAAATGTAGCTACGTGGTATCGGTGCGTGGTATCGGCGAATTTTTATGAGTACGAGTATATGAGGACAGTATCGGTATCGGGCCATCCCTAGAACTAAGGCGTATTTTTGTCAGAAACATCCGGCTGAAGCGGACATGAACCAGAGTGGTAATAACTAGAGACTCACCGTCTGACTCCAGTGCATCTGTGTCTGGTGTTTGTTTAAACCAGTCGTGATCTGAAATGTTCTGTAAGGTGATCCCCGACTCTCTGGCACGAAGTTTCCGAAGTAGATCCTGGCATTCTGTAAACGTTTTCAGAAGAGAGCTGGTTAGTCCTGTTTGATTTTGAGATATGTCGTTTATGTAAGTAAGGGAATGTTACCATCAAATACACTGCATTTGTTGCTGTTACTATGGCATTCTCTGGATGCCCATGAACATTTATTCATTGCTAAACTTCACTGTCAATCCGCTGTGTTTTACACTTTGCTTATTTGTCATCAAGGTAACTTTACTGTCACTTGTGTAAGAGCTTAAAGGTTCTCTAAGCGATCCTGGGTGACATCACTTCTTGTTGACGTTCGAACTATTGTCAAACAAAACGGAGGCTAGCTAGACCCTCCCTCCTCCTCATCCGCACACTAACCCCCCAAACCCTTCTTGTCGGTCATTGGCTGGAACAGTTTGTTATGTTTCGGGGAGCGGGTCGCCGCAGTTTGCTTTTGTTGCTGTTTGTGGAGCCTGGGCTGTCTACAGAGATCGCGTTTCTTTACAGTGTGTTCAGGGGACAGGCAGCCAGCCGATAGTGAGGAGATGTTTGCTGTATGTGACAAAAAATGTTTTGGCCTAAAAAACGCGTGACATCGCTTAGAGCACCTTTAACATGTTTTCAAGCAAAGCTATTTCCATTTCGTTCTTGTTTTTGGTCTCACCTTTGGACAAGCGTGTATTTTTCCGACCAAACCAAAGTTTCAAATTGAAAAGACATTTTCCTTCGACCATCCTCTTCAGCACTCTGTGTAAGCCTTCATTTGTTGCCATTAAAGCATGAATTCTCCTCTCTGCTACTGATTTAAATTTGCCTGTTTCTGTAAGCAATACGTTTTCAGTGTTAACAAAAAACTTTAAAACGCCCTTATTTCCATATCCTGTGCATGATAAATAAGTGACTTCAATAAGTGCAAACTCACGTCTTTCGCTGATGGCCAGTGCTCTGTAAAAGCCGGTTAACTTGATCTGCATGGTGTTTGGGTCGATGAGTACTTTTCTCAGGCTTATGTCTTTATAATAAACACCCTGTTCACTGCAGTGCCGTAACGCAGCGATGAGATTCTGCATGATGTCTTTTGCTTCTGCTTCAGTCAGACGACCTCCGCTTTCTTTGATGAAATCACACAAGGTTATGCTGGCACCTGGATGTTCCATAATTAAGATGTTGCGATCTTCCATGTCAAACCATTCATATAACTTCAGGACATGGTCGCTATGTTTCATGATCTGCATTATAGCTGCCTCTCGACACAAAGGTTTGGAATAGCCAATCTAAAAGAAGAGATTGACAAAAGGTTAGTTGACCTCTAACCTCAAACCTCCTTACTAAAGAGTGAGGGAAACAACGAACTGTACATGTACACTGCAGACATCCCAACCTGCAAGAAGTCATTTCAGGGAGGTATATCTTGGTGACTGGATTGTTGAGGGGGTGTGGGGGGGGGGGCTTTGTTCGGTCAACCGGATTGTTGACGGGGGGGGGGGGGGTATGGTGTGTCGGGTTGACTAACGTTAGCTTTCCTGAGGCACACTCGCAAGGTCTCTCTCCCTCTCTGCCTTGCACGCGCCGCGCGCTTTGTAGGCTATGTTATGCGCGCAGTCAGACCCGTTAAATATGAGTTTTTCAAAGCTCTGCGCGCAGTATGTTCTATCTCGCTCTAGATTCCGGGAGATTTTAACTAATTTGCGGGCATCAGGGAGACGCTAGCAATATGCGGGAGACTCCCGGAACTTCCGGGAGACTTGGGATGTCTGACACTGCAACTGATGCTTCAAGGCTTTGATTGTCTATTTCAGTTTTATCTTATGCTGTCTACATGCAGAATTATCAATTACCGAATAAGAATTTAATAAATAATTCTTAATAGTAATTTTCATGAAGAATAAAATCGTGTCAACTTACGTGGAAATCAAACCGGCGCTTCTTAACAAATTTGATGATCACCTAAAAAATAAAGAAAATATTTGCAAGTGTTAGTGAACTGATACATTTGAGATATTTAGATGATAATCTACAATCTTTTTTAAAACATGTTTTGATCAAAACTGTAAACACTGATGTGTATGACAGGACTCGAAAGACAGAAGGAAACAAGAGGCAGAAGTTTGGTGTATCCAGAAAGAGCAACATACTTGTTTGCCGTCTGATTTTCGAATTCCTTCATGGACAATGCCATGGGATCCCGATGCCAGTTTCTTTCCCAGTTCATAAAAAGAGGATCCTGAAAAACACACAACAGCATGAGACTGAACTGCTTATGACTAAACACACACATATCAGGCGAGGAACCAACCGGTGTGGAGATTACAAATAAAATCAGTAAACAGGATAAAATTGACACATGTGAATAATTAGCAGGTTTTGCATTTAAGTTCATATTCCTCATACTTTAGATGGCAACTTCTTGAATCTGCAATCCTATTACAGTATTTTTCACAAATAAAGAAATTGTTTAAAAATATTTTAATATGTGAATTAAAAGGAAGTAAACACTGAAACAGGGCACTCAGTAATCTGGTAATTTCGTGCGCACTGGTAGTCATATTTGTGCAAATAAAGACATGGTATCACTAATTTTACATACAGCACACAGTGAAAACGATATGAATATGACAGTGGATATAACAACTGGATATAGCACAGCATATTTTAAAATGAAGGATTTAAAGTTTTTGGATCGCGTCTCCTGTGAAGCTGATCTTCTGTTCGCATTCGCTCACTTCACTCGCAGTGACACGTTTAAGCCGGCTACAAATGCACACTTCACAAGATATCACAGCTGGATTCGAAATTGCATATATCACTGCCAACTCTCACGCATTCAGCGTGAGACTCACGCAATTGACCCAATTCTCACGCTCTCACGCCACACCCCCGATTTCTCACGCTGAAGTGTCAACCTGGTGGGCCAAATGCCTGGATGATGAGTTTATCTATATATCTACCTGTTGAGCCACTCGTGATCGACTAGTTATGCCGCAAATTAGTGAAAATCTCCCAGAATCTAGAGCGAGCGCGCACGCGAGACGGAGATTGTGCTCCAAACCCCGTAGCGCGCGCACACACGACAGAGAGGGAAAGCGAGCGAGAGACCTTGCGTGTGCAGGGAGCATCATGTTACAATCTCCCCTCCCCCGTTGGAGAAGTCTCACTCCAAGCTAAACTGAAAAGTTGGCAGCTCTGTTAAATGTTTATTTGATATTCAGAGATTTGTTTAAATGATGTAGATGTGGATTTGCTGAATGTTGACGGCAGATGAGAAAGTATTTTATCATGATTGTTTGCCTTTTCTGTTACAAATAATATGAAAGCAAACGCTTTACTTTTTCGCATACCATTTACTTTCTTTGTTTACCAGTTCTGTCTAAAAGTATTAGATCTGACTGACAGTGATGGTAAACTAATGAAGACGGAGAATGTGAGTGAGCGCTGTGTGATCAGGCGCTGCCGTTTTCTTCTCAGGCGCTGGTGTTCTCTGCGCCGCCCGTCAAAGTAAAAGTCCCGCTTCTAACACATCGGCCAATCAGAAAAACTTATCGGCCAATGTTTTAAAAATGTCAAATATCGGCCGATGTTTTAAAAATGTCAAATATCGGCCATGTCCTCAGACAGTTACCTGTTGGGTTAACCTTCACAGGTCCATCCAACACAGCAGCGCTGGTCACGGGTTGAGCGTAATCCACCACTGGCTCGAGCACATCTGTGGCTGGAGTCGGCTCCTGTCCGGGAGTTTGAGGACGCTCCTGCGATGACACAGCATCGCTGGTCACGGGTTGAGCGTAATCCACCACTGGCTCGGTCTCTAGCACATCTGTGGCTGGAGTCGGCTCCTGTCCGGGAGTTTGAGGACGCTCCTGCGATGACACAGCAGCGCTGGTCACGGGTTGAGCGTAATCCACCACTGGCTCGATCTCTAGCACATCTGTGGCTGGAGTCGGCTCCTGTCCGGGAGTTTGAGGACGCTCCTGCGATGACACAGCAGCGCTGGTCACGGGTTGAGCGTAATCCACCACTGGTTCGGTCTCTAGCACATCTGTGGCTGGAGTCGGCTCCTGTCCGGGAGTTTGAGGACACTCCTGCGATGACACACCAGCGCTGGTCGATGGTTGAGCGTAATCCACCACTGGCTCGGGCTCAAGCACATCTGTGGCTGGAGTCGGCTCCTGTCCGTGAGTTTGAGGACGCTCCTGCGATGACACAGCAGCGCTGGTCAATGGTTGAGCGTAATCCACCACTGGCTCGGTCTCTAGCACATCTGTGGCTGGAGTCGGCTCCTGTCCGGGAGTTTGAGGACGCTCCTGCGATGACACACCAGCGCTGGTCGATGGTTGAGCGTAATTAACCACTGGCTCGGGCTCAAGCACATCTGTGGCTGGAGTCGGCTCCTGTCCGGGAGTTTGAGGACGCTCCTGCGATGACACACCAGCGCT